CACACACACACACACACACACACACACACACACACCAGCAGACTCCTTGCTGAATCGGCCCTGTCCCCAGTGTAGCACAGAGTCTGGCCCTAGCACCCCTGGGGAGAATGTGAGTCATGGAGGTAGCAGAGCATAACCCTTATATTTTCCCTCTTTCAGGTTGGCAAGGGAGCAGGGAGCCTGGCCTGCTCTGGGAAGAACCCCCAGTCGTCCCTCTCAGGGCCTGCCTTCCTCAGCTCATCTCCCCAGGCTCCACTGATGATGAACGAGAGGGAGGAGGATGAAGCTTGGCTGCAGCTGCGGCCTGTGGAGCCCTTGCCCTCCCAGTGCTGTGGCAGTGGCTGCTCCCCTTGTGTGTTTGACCTCTATCACCGAGACCTGGCCAGGTGGGAGGCGGCTCGAGCCAGCAAAGACAGGAGCTTGCTAAGCAGGGAGGAGAGACAGGTGAGGGACAGCTGCCCCTCAGCCGAAGGACCAGGGCAGCAGTTTGCCAAGCTAGGGCCCTGCCCGCCAAGCTAGGCCCCTGCCTAGTAGTACCTGCTCTGGGAAAGCCATGTCTGATTTCTGCAGTCTGATGCAAGAGTGTACATAAGGAAGCAACTTCAAAGCTGCCCCTGGAACTTGCAAGCAGCCGTATGGTTTTAGGCAAAGTCCCTGAACTTCCTCATGTATAAAATAGGGTTCAACATTTGTGACATTTAGCACAGAGTCTAGCATTCGTTTAATTTAACAAATGTTTATTGAGAGCCTGTTAAACAGTAGGCCCTGGATTAGGCACTAGAGATTTGAGAGTGAGCAAGACCGTCTATCCTTGTCTGCACAGAGCAAGCTAGCAGATGGTGGTGTATACTAGGTGAATGTTAAGTGCTGTCGAGTCGGTTCCGACCCATAGCGACCCTGAACAGGGTTTCCGAGGCTATAAATCTTTACAGAAGCAGAAAGCCTCATCTTTCTCCCGCGGAGCAGCTGGTAGTTTTCAATTGCTGACTTTGAGGTTTGCAGCCCGATTCGTAACCACTACGCTAACAGAGCTCCTTTAGATGACATGTAGGTTGGTTTATTTGTATATTGTCCATCTCCCCTTACTAAACTGGAAGATCCCTAAGAGTAAGGGTTTTGTCTTGCTCACCTCATGCAGCATCTGGCATTGCATGATGGCTGAATGAGTGAATGACTTTCTCTCGGACCTACCAGAAAACTTGCCCTGTGTGCTGGGCCCAAGGGGTTTGATGCTTAAGATGCCAGTGGACCAGTCCTCAAAAAGCTCAGCTTGTAGAACGAGGACACATGAGTAATACATGACTCAGAGGGGTCTTGGGATGTTAATGCATTTTTATAACAATAACAATAAACACTTTTATAGCACTTAGCATTCAGGACCCATTTCTACATGAACTCATTGAATCTTCATACAAAGCTGTGTAGTAGATATTGTTATCAGAGCCAAGAGGAAACTGAAGTTAGGGAGGTTGAGTAACTTAGAAGTGTTGGAACCAGGATTTGATGGCAAGCAGCTTGAGTAGAGCCTCTGGTTTTAGCCTGATGTGATTAACACCAGTTGAGAGAAAGGACATTGAGAACAAGGGTGTGAGCTGAGGTCCACTTCTGCCAGTTAATTGTGTGATGTTGGGCATGTCATTTTAGTTTGCTAAATCTCAGTTTTCTCATCTGAAAAATGGGGATGCTAATATTTCCTAGGAGTCCTGGTGTGGTGCTGTAATCAGCACTGGACTACTAACCACAAGGTCAGCAGTTCAAACCCACCAGTCGTTCCTGGGAAACCTTACACAGGGTTTCTATGAGTCAGAATTGACTCAACAGCTCTGAACAACAACAACATTTTGTAGGTCGATTATAGGATTTTGTGGGATGAGGATGTAAAACACCTGGCACATAGTTGTTGTTGAGCCAATTCTGACTCATAGTGATGCTGTATAGAGTTTCCAAAGCTGTACATCTTTGTTGTTGTTATGTGCCGTGGAGTCAGTTCTGACTCATAGCGACCCTATACAGAGTTTTCCAGGCTGTAAATCTTTATGGGAACAGAAAGCCTCATCTTTTCTCCCGTGGAACAGGTGGTAGTTTCGAAATGCTGACCCTGAGGTTCGCAGCCCGATTCATGACCACTATGCTACCAGAACTCCTTATATCTTTGCAGGAGCAGAAAACCTCATCTTTCTCTTACAGAGCCACTGGTGGGCTCAAATCGCCAACCTTGTGGTTCACAGTCCAGTTCTTATCCTAGAGCCACAGTGCCCCCTGGCACATAGTAGGTGCTCACTAAATAGTAACTGTTAGCCACTTATTATGTATAAAAGTAAAATTAAGTGATAAAAGGTTTTATCAGTATGATAATATAAAGTAGCATATTTAAAATAATATATTTTCTTTCAATGAAGTAATAATAATAGATTTAAATTTGTCATAACACTTTAGATTTTCTAAAATGCTTTTACATTGTTATCCCATCTGACCCTCCTGAGAACCATATAGGGTTATCAAGGATGAGTGGTCCCTTTTGATAGATAAGGTAGCTGAGGTCCAGAGGATCAAATGATATGTCTAAGGCCACACAGATGGTCAGAAGCAGAGCTGGGGTTAAACCCAAGTCTCCAGCAACAAGCAACTTGGGCAGAGGGTACCCGGATGCTCTGGCTATTGAAGCAGAGGCTGTCCTGGCGTTGGGTGGGAGGCCTGAAAGTTTTGTGATATGGGTGGCACTTCTCTGGCAGTCTGGGGCTTTGGAGTTGGTGTCTCAGCACCAGGCCCTGAGCTCGGCGTGCAGTCCTGGGAGTGAATCTGGTGTGGGCATTTTACAGGGAGGAGAGATCTGTGTGTCCTGGTATTCAGAGAAGGCTTCCTGGAGGAGGTGTGGGAGGGCACTGGGCTATAACTTAGAAGACATGAACTTGAGTCCCTGCTCACAGTATGACCTTGGACAACAAGTCTCCACCACTGAGGCCCTGGAGTTCCCATATGTCAAATAAGGTTATTGGATTAGATTATCTTTAAGGTCCCATCATTTTCTAAATTCTGAAAATCTGGGTTTTAGCAGTTTTGAAGGATAACTAACTAGGTCTTTCATAGATGGGAGTGAGTATTCTGGATAAAGGGTGCAGTTTGAGCAGATAAAAACCCAGAGGTGGGAGGCAGCAGAATATTCTTGGGGCATGGAGAAAAGTCTGCCATCTGAGGTGTGGGAGGTACAGTAAGACTGAAGGATCACTCAGTGGACTCTCAAAGTGTCCAGCTAAGGAGCCCACTCTTCATCCAGAATCAGCTCAGTTAAAGTGCTCTGGCGTTCTTACTTCTTAGATTGAAATATGAAAGGAGCTAGAATGGGGTTTCTCTCTGTAGTGAAGGCAACCTCTCGTTGGAGAAGGCGGGGGGATGCTGGTGGATGCCAGTACATCTTTTGAGCCCCAGTCTCTACCCTACTGGATCTTTTGCTGTTGTAGATCTACCCCTCCGGCCTGAGCCTAGAGACCTTCCTGGCCTTCAGCATCAGCGCTGTGGACAAAGTCTCAGAGGACACTTACCGTGCCCGGTTTGCACTGCCTGGGAACAGCCAACTTGGCCTGCGACCTGGCCAGCACCTCATCCTACGGTACACTCAGGTAGCGGGAGGACGGAAGCTTAGAGCTGGCCTTTCCATTTGTTACCTGTGTGGCCTAGGACAACTTGCTTCACCTCTGCTAAGTTTCCATTTTGTCATCTTCAAGACAGACAGATGTAGTATGTAACTCAGAGGGTTCTTAGGATTGAATTAGATAATGCATTTGTATAATAAATAGTAACAGTAAACACTTTGATAGTACGACTGTCCAGGGCCCACTTCCTGTGCTTACCTGCATGAACTCATTGAATCCTCAAAAAATCATGTGTGGTGGATATTGTTATCAGACCCAAGGGAAAGCTGAAGTCAGGGAGGTTGAGTATCTTGCCCAATGCCATACACTTAGAAGGTGTTGGAGTCAGGATATGAAGGCAAGCAGTCTGTGGTTTTAACCTAATATGATTAGCACCAACTGAGAGAAAAGGGAAGAAGGGACTTGCCCAAGGTCACACAGCTAATAAGAAGTGGAGCCAGGATTTAAACCCAGACAATCTGGCTTCTAAGTCTATACTCTTAATACTCCTTGAGGGGATAAGTCCCTACTTACTTTTGTACCCTATTCTTATCCCAGTCCCCTCCTGACCTGTCCTGGGACAAGATTCCACATGTCTGGTTTCCTGGGTTACTGGTGCTGTAGGATCAGCATTGGTCTGTGAACCACAAGGTCAGAAGTTCAGATGCACCAGCTGCTTCTCAGAAACTCTATACAGGGTCACTATGCATCAGAATCAGCTCAACAACATTTGATAACAATAACAACATGCTACAAAGTGGTAGTATATGGAGAAATAAGAATTTGATGCAGCCACAAAACAAACACGAAGCAGACTCAAAGGCCTATTAAAGCTGGCACAGCAGGGAGGGAAATGGCCTGGCTCTTGCAAGGTTGCTCTATGACCTTGCAAATCTGCATAGTGATAGCAATGAGTCAGATCTGGCTGCAGAGAGGTTATGTTTGGTCTACTATGCTGCTAAAATTTTCAGTGAAATGAACTTTGCATGGAAAATTTGGGATTTCCTACATCTCTGGAAAAATGGGGGTATTTGGTAACCCTGGCCTGCATTTCCTCATAGCAGCCATGGATGGGAAGTAGCTGGAAGCATGGTTAGCATCTCTATGTTTCCCTGGTTGGCAGTCTTGGGTTGATACAGTAGTGTTAGGAATCTGGGTGCAGCAAGGGTTCTAGGAGAAGTGGGCAATGAAGAAGGCAGAAGGAGGCATCTAGAAGACCTCCCAAGTCTTTGACCTGAGGGAATTCACAGGGTGGGATTCAGGTAGAGGAGCGCATGTGAGGAAGACACTGAGTGTAGCTCAGAACTTTCGAGGATGAAACTCAGAGGGACTGCCACGTGAAGACTGAGTAGTGGTTCTGAGACTCTGCAGAGAGAGCCGAGCGGTAGAGATCTGTGCCTGTGAGAGACATTCGTGCACACCTGGCTTTGGAAGCATGTGTGGCATGGAAAGTGGAAAGGGCATAGGTATTGGCAGAAGGAGGAGGAGTTGGAGGACATGGAGGATACCAGGAGAGAGGTCTTTTACTGATCGGACTTACCAGACTTTGGCCCACTTGCCTCACACTGATGCCTGGTATTTCTGCCCACTGGGACTGGTCTGCGGCCTGACTGGAAGTTCTGGAAGCTCACTGTGCCAGTGGGCAGACGGGCTCCCAGGGCAGGTCACTGCTCCATGTAGTACTTCAGGTCTTCCATCTGTCAGTCAGCAATGGCCAGCGCTCCTGCCTACAGGCTGGCCCCTCTCCTCTGTCCTCTCTGCCACTCAATCACATTCCTACCACACACCTCCAACTCTGTCACTCCCCTTCAGACACCGCCTGGTCTCCACATCACCTCCACAGTGGTCTCCTAACCCGACGCCCCAGCTTCTTTTCCTCCAAGTTCTTCTCTTCTCCCACCCTCTTCCACTCTAGACCTGCTCTGTGTTCTAGCTCCTTATCCACCCAACCATTTCCTGATTTGCCCTACATTGTGCTGTCTAAGGATTTTGCCCAGGCTATTCCCTCTGCCTGGGATGACTTCCTTTCCTGTCCTCACTCCCACCTGTCCAAGGCCTGCTCCTCCTCCAGCCCCAGCTCCAGGAGGCCTTCTGAGGTTCCTCAGATGAGAGAGCCTCTGTTGTAGCCAAGTGTTTTGCATCCAAGTCACATCATGAGTTTTATCCTTCCTTTATCCCTCATTTGTCCCACAGCATTGATTATGCCCAGCTCCCTAGCTCTGGATGCAATGGGGCAGGACCTTGTGAATCTCTGCTTACCTCAGAGAAGAGAACTTTCCACACAGTCGGGCTTGAGAGAGAACAGTGCTTTGGAATTCCTGTGCAGCTCTGTGGAGTAGTGGTGAGGAGCCCAACTTTACAGTTGGACAGAGTTAAGTTGAATTCTAGCTGTGGGACCTCGGGCAAGTGATTTTTCTCTGAACCCTGGTTTCCCCATATAGGTTGTAGGAACTAAGTGAGATAATGCACATCATGAGCCCAGTAAGGTGTAGGCATTTAATTTAATGTCTTTGTTAAGTGCCATATAGTCGGTTATGACTCATACAGACTCATAGGGTTTCTGAGGAATGGGTGGTGGGTTTGAACCGCCGACCTTACCAATACAGTGCTTATCTGACAGTACCATAGACATGATTGTGAAGTGCTGCCAAGTTGCTAAGTGTTTACTATATCCCAGCAGTGGTTGTTACCACTTTGATTATATGGTTGAGAAGAGTTCGGTGATGACCCCTGGACAGCTCACATCGTCAGGGTAGCACTTCTGTAGTTTTCAAAGCTCTTTCCTAAGCGGAGCCACACTGTTGTAGCGGCTGAGGCTGGCAGCACACAGATGGTGGTGCTCTTAGCTAAAATGACTTGCCTAGTGTCTCATAGCCAGCATGTGGCAGTGGTGGAAATCCTCTGTTCTTCTCTGCCTACCTCCCACTGAGGAGGATCACCAACCCTACCTTTGCTTTTTCCAACCTGGGGCAGAGTAGGTATCTGATACAAGACTGGCTGACTGGATGCCTTCTCTTTTCCAGGGGGACAGTGGATGGCTTAGACATTCAGAGAGCCTATACCCCCATCAGCCCTGCCAATGCAAAAGGGTACTTTGAAGTTTTAATTAAGGTGAGTCGACTCACACGGATGCTCTACGATGCCGTGAATTGGCATTTCCATTTGCCAGGCTAGTGGGAATGGGCAATACTCGTTGGTGTGAAAAGCCAGTGTTCATATGGGAGAAGGCTGACAGGAGGGTGGAGGGAGTGAAAGAGCCCCTCCTCCATCCTGTTCTCCTAGGGCAGGGGGCTACTAGTCCATATTCCTGACAAATTTTACTGAAAGGAAAATCAGACCGAAGAAGGGGAAAGCTGCCCCTTTCTCACCTTTTTTACTCATGGAAGGAGAAAACTCATGAAAGAGGGCTGTACCATGTGTGCTGGGTGATGGGGTCCAAAGACGAGTGAGACTTGGCACCTGGCCTGGAAGAGCCCACATAGGACAGGTGCCCAGGCCAGGACTGTGCAATGTGGTAGGCACTGTGACAGAGGAGGCCCAAGCCAACTCCGGGCAGCTGAGGCTCCGGGGAAGACAGGATGTCTTCCTAGCAGAGCTGTGAAGTGAGCTGTGTATTTAAGGAGGGAGAACTGAGGACAACTGTGGGAAGGAGACCAAGTAAGATGAACAGAATGGACAAGTGGCACAAGAGTCATGATTTGAGGAACTGTTCATCATTCATGTTGAAATAGTTGATTTATTGGGGCTGCCATAACAAATTGCCGCAAACTAGGTAGCTTGAAACAGCAGAACCTAACTCTCACAGTTCTGGAGGCTAGAAGTTCAAAAATCAAGGTGTCAGCAGGGCCTTGCTCTTTCTGAAGACTCAAGGAGAGAACCTGTTCTATGCCTTTCTCGTAGCTTCTGGGGTTGCCTGCAATCTTTACCATTCCTTGGCTTGTAGAGATATCACTCCAATTTGTCTCTCCTGTCATAGCTTGTCACTCCTGTTTGTCTCTCTTTGTCTCATCTCGTCTCTAATCCAGGACACCAGTCATTGGATTAAGGGGCCACTCTACTCCAGTGTGACTGTTTACATTTGCAATGATCCTATCTCAAAATAATGTCAATTGTGAAGTTCTGAGAAGAATGTAACTTTTTTTTTTTAATGTTTTATTGTGAATTATATGATGGTTTACATGAGAGAACTTTAGTTTTACATTCATTCCATCGTATATCATTTCATTGCCGTGGTTCCAAGAACGTAAATTTTATTGCAGAGACTCTATTCAACTCAGAACAATGTGCCAAGGGGGCAGGATATGAGTTAGAGAATCAGACAAAAGGTGGAACATGAAGGACCTGTCACCTCTGAGCAAGTGAGTGGATTTCAGTTGAGGCTTGAAGAGTGAGTACAAACTGACGGTGACAGGGAATGACATTCCAGGCCGAGAGGACAGATGATCAAAGACAAAAGGGGCAAAAAAGAACAGGGTGTTCTGGGAAGAACCCAGTCTGAACAGCTGTAGGACAGGAGTTGACCAAGATTAGTTGAACCAGGTGAGTCAAATATAAAAGACTCGATAGTTCCAGGTCCCATTACAGTCCAGTCAATTCCAATTCATAGCGATCATAAGGGACAGCATAGGGTTGGAAGCCCCATAGGGTTTCCTTACAGAAGTGCACTGCCACATCTTTCTCCAGTGGAGTTGCTGGTAGGGTCAAACCACCAACCTTGTGGTTAGCAGCCAACCACTTAACCACTGTGCCACCAGGGCTCCTTTTTCTAGGGAGTAGACAACAAATATATAAGTCATGAAGGATGGATTACGTAGAGAAAATAATTAAATTGAACTACATGAGATCTCTGGCTTGAACCTCTGGAAGTTCTCTGTCAATGTATAATTGTAGCCGTTTCTATATTGGTGGTGGTTATGTGCCGTGAAGTCGGTTCCAACTCAGTTTCTATATTGTTGTTGTTGTTAAGTGCCGTCGAGTCGGTTCCGACCCATAGCGACCCTGTACAGGGTTTCCGAGGGTGTAAATCTTTACGGGAGTAGAAAGCCTCATCTTTCTCCCACGGAGCGGTTGGTAGTTTCGAACCGCTGACCTTAAGGTTCTCAGCCCGATTCGTAACCACTACGCTACCAGAGCTACTTCAGTTTCTATATTACCTTTAGCAAAATTTTACTCACATGGGATATCAAAGAGATTATCCAATGATTTACGCATTCCATTGGGTCACCTCTCTTTGGAATGGTCACAAATATGGATCTCTTCCAATCAGTTGTCTTCCGAATTTCTTGGCAGAGATAGTTGTCTTCCAAATTTCTCAGATTCAGACGAGGCCGTGGAACGAGGGATATCATTGCTGATGTCCGATGGATTTTGGTTGAAAGCAGAGAATATCAGAAAAATGTTTACCTGTGCTTTATTGACTACGCAAAGGCTTTCAATTGTGTGGATCATGACAAGCTGTTGACAACATTACAAAGTATGGTTATTCCAGAACACTTGTGTTCATGAGGAATTTGTACATGGACCAAGAAGCAGTTGTTCGAACAGATCACGGGAACACTGAATGGTTTAAAATCAAGAAAGGTGTATGACAGGGTTGTATTCTTTCACCATACTTATTCAACCTGTATGCTGAGCAAATCATCCAAGAAGCTGAGTTCTATGAAGAAAAACATGGCATCATAATTGGAGGAAGACTCATTAACAACCTGCGATATGCAGATGATATAACCTTGCTTGCTGAAAGTGAAGAGGACTTAAAACATTTACTGATGAAGATCAAAGAGCACAGACTTTGGTATGGATTACATCTCAATGTAGAGAAAACAAAAATCCTCACCACTGAACCAATAAACAACATTCTTATCAACAGAGAAAAGGTTGAAGTTGTCAAGGACTTCATTCTTCTTGGGTCAACCATCAGCACTCAAAGAAGCAGCAGTCAAGAGATCAAACAATGTATTGCATTAGACAAATCTTCTGCACAAGACCTTTTTAAAGTATTGAAGAGCAAAGATGTCAGCTTGAGGACTAAGGTGCACCTGACCCAAGCCATGGTATTTTCAATAACCTCATATGAATGTGAAAGCTGGACAGTGGTTAAGGAATACCGTAGAAGAATTGATGCTTTTGAGTTATGGTGTTGGAGGAGAATATTGTAAGTGCCGCGGCTGCCAAAAGAACCAATAGATCCGTTTTGGAAGAAGTGCAGCCAGAGTGCTCCTTGGAGACCAGGATGGCCAAACTTCGTCTCTCATACTTCGGCCATATTGTCAGGAGGGACCAGTCACTAGTGAAGGGTATCATGTTTGTTAAGGTGGAGGGTCAGAGAAAAAGAGGATGATCCCCAGCAAGATGGATTGGTCAAGTGGCAGCATCGATGGACTCAAGCATGGCAACAGTAGTGAGGTTGGCCCAGGATCAGGCACTGTTTCGTTCTGCTCTGCATAAGGTCACTATGGGTCGGTGCTGACTTGACGGCACCTAACAACAACAACAAACATGAGATTTGCTGATACACTTAAGATTTTGGACTTACAGAGACAGCAGTTTTTATGGTCAACCTAATGTACAATTCTAGATCATTGCTTCCCAAATAGAATCTTGTTGTTGTTAAGTGCCGTTGAATCACTCCCAACTCATAGAGATCCTGTATACGGGTTTGGCGGCTGTACATCTTTGAAGGAGCAGAAAGCCTCATATTTTTTCTGTAGACCAGTTGGTAGGCTCGAACTGCTGATCTTGTGGCTTTGTAGTCCAGCGCTTATCCTATCGAACCACTGTGCTCCCAGTGGAATTCTGGGGAACCCCAATATTTAAGAATAGCTTTCACATTCTTTATTACCCATGTAGACCAGGAATTATTATTCCCATTTTGTTGATAAGCAAACTGAGGCCCCAGGAGGAGCCAAGACTCCACAACTAGTAAGAAGTGCTGCTGAAGGTTGAGCTCTGGTCCCCTGACTCCCAGACCCCAGCACTGTCTCCCCCTCCTGCCTTCCTGTCTGCCTTCAGAGGCAGTGTTTATTCCCTCACACATAAGCTTGGATGGGATCCCTTCTCCACGCAACTGTTTGTCTGGGAGATTCCACAAATCCTCTCCAAATGGCCTACTTCCCCAAGCTGCTTGTCTGGGTGTGCTTCTGTTGAAAGGATAAGCCTGGAGACAGCTCTTCAGGGCAGCTGGATCTCTCCCAGCTGCAAGGCTGATTTTCTCCTTCGTTTACCGGAAAGCCTCTCTTTAGAGAGATGCTTAATTATCCTGAAGTCGCTGGCTAGGAAGAGCCAGAAATGTCTTTGCAAATTGGGAAGCCAGGCGGGTATTTTTTAGGTTTATCCTCCCATGTAGAAGGGAAGGAAGAACTCCCACTTCTCAGGGACCTACTGAGCATCAAGCACTACTTCTGGCTGTTGATTTTCATGATCTCATTCCAACCACCTAGCCATCCCACAGAGTGGATCATATTATCCCTATTGTACAGATGAAGAAACTGAAGCTCAGAAAAGTGATTCCCAGACTAAGGTCTTAAAAGCTTCTGAGTGGCCATCTAAGGTGCAGCTCTGTCCATAACAAAGAAAAGTAATCAAAGATGCATAAAACAATTAGTTCAAAGAACTAATGAACCACATACAATTCAGCCTCTACAGCCCTGAGACCAGGAGAACTAGAAAGACTAGCCTTAACTGGTCAGACAGAGACTGTTGGAACCCCCAAGGTAATGGCCCTTAGTCTTCAGGCCTGGAACTGAACTCACTGCCATGGTTCAACTTTCACCCAAACAACAGGTCTGTAAGGTGAACAGTAATCCAGGGAGGTATGTACTCCTTAAGGATCAAAAGGGCATCATTTCTCCAAGGATAGAGTGCAGCAGATGCTAAGAGATAGGAAAGAAGGACAAACGGAACCTGTAAACTAAGGGAGGCAAGGGGATTGCAAACAATGTCACAAAACAAGATGTGTATGACTTGAGTGGAAAACCAATTTGCTCTATAAGCTTTCACCCAAATCACAAAATTCTAAAAAAAAAAGATGATACCACTGTCCCAAAGCCCAATTGGAAAAACAAGCTCAGTATTTTTAACAAGTATGTATTGATCACACACTCTGTGCTAAACTCCATGGAAGAAGAACCTTTCCCTTATCCTTGTGCCATAGGACCTCTTAAGCCACAGCTGGGTCTTTCTCCAACACTGGGGCCAGAAAACAAGGTGTGTGTCAAGGCACAACTCCAATATGTCAGAAGAATAGCCCTCTCTTCCTTTTCTCACAGACCACTTTAGGTGAGCCGAGACCTTGCTCCAGGCCTAGCTTTATGCCGATGGTCCCAGGGAAGTCTAGGGTGGGCACCAAAAAGCAAGCCTGGAGAGCCCAGTCTCCCCTTCAAGCCAGGTTCCGGTTCTCTTTCCTATTGCTGCCTCCTTATCCTCACCGTACTATGACTCACCAAAAATCCTCTTGCTGTTCCCTGAACATGGCTCCTAAGCGGCCCACAGTTGATACCTAGGATCCTCTCTGTGTCTGTGCTTCCATCCACAGTCAATGCAATCTTGACATCCTTCAAGGACCAGCTTAAATGCTTCCTCCTTCAGGAAGCCACCTTTCATCCCACCCCAGTGGCTGTACCCTAGGCCTATGTCTGTGCTCTATCTTCTCATGGGGGGATAGGGACTTTCTCCCTTGTCTATGTCAGATCCTCAAGGGGAGGATCTGAATCTGGATTAGTTGGTTGATTCACTGAGATATTAAGTCCTTTCTCTTGTCCTGGCTCTGGCTGCCCTCATGGAGTCTTGGAAACCCTACACAGGGTCTCTGTGAGTCCGAACTGACTCCACAGCACATGACCGCACCACCACCAGTGAACTAGTTGCTGTTGAGTTGATTCTGCCTCATGGTGACACTGCATGTTTCTGAGTAGAACTACCTCAGTTTTAATGACTGTGATCGTTCAGAAGTAGATTTCTAGACCTTTCTTCTGAGGTGCATCTGAGTGAATTTGAACTGCCAATCTCTTGATTAGTAGCCAAATGTTTATCTGTTTGTGTCACCTAGGACCTAATGATAGTTTAAGTTTTTGAATTAATTGATGACATTTTCAAAAATGAGAGATTTTACATAAAAGGGTGAAATTCAGAAGAAATCAGATCTGGTGACATTTGCCCCACAAACTAGGGACTAGAACTGCAAAATGCTTTTGTCTTTAGCTGCAGTATTCCCTGGCCAGTTTACCTCAGTCCCCATGGCTCCTAACAGTACCTCTGAGACTGTTAATTAACATTAACCATCTGTACACTGCTCTTCACTCACTTATATTATCTGCATGGCTCCTATAGACATTTGGGTTTGAGAACTGTAAGGCTGCAGGCCTCACCATCCACCTGTGTGAGCATTGGGACTGACAGGCAGGATGACTGGGAGGAGCATTAAGTGTGCGGGAGGGGCTCCACAGGAGTGGCTACTGTGGGGGGTAGTGGCATCTTGTACTGTCCCACTGAAGCCTTCCTGTGTTTGCTTCCAGTGCTATAAAACTGGGCTCATGTCCCAGTATGTTGAGTCCTGGAGAGCAGGAGACACAGCCTTCTGGAGAGGACCTTTTGGAGGCTTCTGCTATAAACCAAATCAGGTTAGTACCAGCACACTAAATCCTCAGGAGACTTCTCTCAACTCAATCTTCTGGTCTGTAGTTTTTCTGTTTCCTAAGCTCAAACCCCATCCCAAGAGCAACCAAGGAGTTGGTTTTGGAAGGAGATGGAATAGGCACTAATAAACAAGACTGCCTGCCCTCATTCCTCCAGTCGTCCATGATTGCTCATTGCTTAGAAAATTCAGACTCTTCTACCAGGTATTTAAGACCCCTGGCATCCATAAAGGAGCTCTGGTAATGCAGTGGTTACGAATCAGGCTGCCAACCTCAATGTCAGCAGTTCGAAACTACCAGCGGTTCCGCGGGAGAAAGATGAGGTGTTCTGCTCCCGTAAAGATTTACAGCCTTGGAAATCCCGTGCAGGGTCACTATGAGTCGGCGCCGACTCCACGGTACTTAACAACAACAACAAGCATCCATAAAAACAGACGAAGTTGAAGTAAGAAATCCATACTACACTGAAGGCCTGGGCAAAATCACCCATCACCGTCAAGTCGATTTTCATTCCTAGCAACCCTATAGGACAAAGTAACTACTCCATAGGGTACCTGAGACTCAATCTTTATGAGAACAAACAGCCTTAACTTTCTCCTGTGGAACAGCTGGTAGGTTTGAACTTCCAACCTTGCATTTAGCAGCCCAATGCTTAACCCACTCTGCCACCAGGGCTCCGTAGGTAAAAACAATGTTCCTGGAATTGACTGAGTACTAATTGAGATGTTGCAGTAAACACATGCCAACACTGGAAGCACTCGCTATGCCAAGAAATTTGGAATATACCTACCTGGCCTACTGATTGGAACAGTTGCATATTTGTGCTGATTCCCAAGAAATGTGATCCAACAGACTGTGGAAGTTATAAACAGTAGCATTAATAATCCACATGCAAGTAAAATTTTGTTGGAGATAATTTAAAACTGGCTACCACAGCACATCAGTAGAGAACTGACAAAAATTGAAGCCAGATTCAGAAGAGGACATGAAACCAGGGATATTAGTACTGACATCAGATGGATCTTGGTTGAAAGCAGAAAACACCAAAAATATATTTACCTGTGTTTTATGCATTATGCAAACACTTTAAACTGCATGGGTAATAATAACCTATGAATAGATACCACTATGAAAAATGGAAATTGCAGGACACTTGTCTTCATGTTCATAAAAAGACCAAGAGGCAGTCATTTGAACATAAAAAGGGAATTCTATGTTGTTTCAAATCAGGAAAGGTATGTGTCAGTGGTGTAGCCTTTGACCATACTCGTTCAATCTGTATGGTTAGCAAATAATCCCAGAAGCTGAACTATATCAAGTACATGACATCCTGATTGGAGGAAGACACATAAACAACCTGCAATATACGGATGACACAATCATATTTGGTGAAAGTGAAGAGGCTTTAAGGCATTTACTGTGAAGATAAAAGACTATAGCCTTCAGTATGGATTACATCTCAGTATGAAGAAAACAAAAAAATTTCACAACTGGGCCAATAAGCAACATCACGATAAATGGAGAAAAGATTGAAGTTGTCAAGGATTTCATTTTACTTGGATCCACAATCAATGCCTGTGGATGCAGTAATCAAAAAAATCAAACAAAAAACATTTTTAATTAAAAAAAAAATCAAACAATGTATTGCATTAGACAAATGTGCTGCAAAAGGCCTCTTTAAAGTATTATCAAGTAAAGCTGTCACTTTGAGGACTAAGGTACACCTGACTGAAGCTATGGTATTCTCAGTCGTCTCATATGCATGTGCAATCTGGACATGCAAAGCATATTCAATGTATCATGGACTGCCAGAAGACAAACAAGTCTGTCTTAGAAGAACAACAGCCAGAATGCTCATTAGAAGTGAGGATAGTAAGATTGCATCTCACATACATTGGACATGTTATGATGAGGCACCAGTCCCTAGAGAAGGACATCATGCTTGATAATTAAAGAGTCAGTAAGCGAAAAGAGGAAGACTGTCAAGGAGATTGACACAGTAGCTACAACAGTGGATTCAAACATAGTAGATTGTGGAGATGGTGCAGCACAGTGTTTTGTTGTGTTAGACACAGGGTCACTATCACCTTGACAGCACCTAACAAGGTAAAGATGTTAGCCTTGGGAATGATATAGAGCAGTTCTACTTTACCGTATAGGGTCACGATGAGTTGGAATCAACTTGATGGCATAGGATTTCTATACCATCTGGGAGTTCCCAAGAGGTGCAAGTAAGTTGCACACTGGATTCTAACCTAAAGGTTGGAAGTTCAAGTCTACCCAGAAGCATCTGGTGATCTAGTTCTGAAAAATCAACCATTAAAAACCCTGTGGAGCACAGTTCTACTCTGACACACTTAGAGGTGTGTGTCAATGAGCCAGGACCAACTTGACAGCAGTTAGTGGTGGCCTACCATCTGACCTCCCAAATACCTTTTCAATTTGGCACTCCAGCCACTGACTAGAGAGATGCTCTCTGATATGCCCCATGGCTTGCTGTTACCCAGCCCGGAGGCTTTCCCCCGCATCATCACAGCACGTTCAGACCCTTCTCTGACTTCCCCAGGAAGAAGTAAGCATTTCTCTTCAGTTGGTGCCTATCTGGAAAAAGCAGTTGGCAGTATGTACCAAGAGTCTTAAGAATCTTTAAATCCTGTGACCCATTAATTCCACTTCTGGAAGTCTGTCCTATTGGAAAGAATCCACAATGCTGACTTTGGCACATGTTCATTGCAGCTTTATTTGTAAGAGCATGAAATTGGAGACAACTGAGTATCCAACAACAGGGGAACTGTTAAGTAAACTGGGCTACACGTACTTGATAAAACATTATCCTGCATCTAAAAATGATCTCTACAAGTGATGTTCTGTGCTTATGCTATAACATCAAGCGACAAACACTAGGTACAAATTGAATACGCAATAGGTTGAGAAACTGTTAAAATGCACAGAAAAAATATGGAAGGAAAATGCAATGAAATGTTAGCAGCTCTGGGTGGTAGAATTATGGTGATTTTTATTTTCTTCATTATACTTTCCAAATTATCTGCAATGAACACCTATTACCTTTATAATTAGAAAAACAAAGGAAAATGAAAACAAATGTAAAAGAATGAATCATGCCTCCCTCTCTATTCTTTTTGTTTAATTTAAAAATAGTTTTATTGGTTTCTTTCTTATTACAAATGCAGTACACGTTTGTTGCCAAAAAGAAAATCAGCAGATACTGAAAGGCAAAAAGAAAATTAAAAACACCTCACAGGCCATCTCCCCAGATACTTTGGTGTATGTCCTTCTGCTGTGCATGGTTATATATATGCACACACATGTGTACACACGTGTAGATGTATATGTGTACAAGAATAACATCAAAGGCTTATGTGGCAACTCCTACATGCCAGGTTCCTTCCTTGTCAAGTGATGTCTAGTCAGTTCCGACTCATAGCAACCCTATACAGGCTGTAAATGAAAACCTCTTCTTTCTCCTGGTGAGCAGCTGGTGGGCTCGACCTTGTGGTTTGCAGTCCAGTGCTTACACTGCAGAGCCACCGCACCTCTAGGTTCTTACCTTAGCACTTGCCATATGGTACCTCATTGAATCCTCACAATAGCTCTCAGGTTTTATTGCCCTCACTGTACAGAGATGTGGTGTGTGTATGTTAATACTCTTCCTCAGTCTTCTCCTGGGACTCGCCATGCTCAGCCTTGCATGTTAGCTGAGTATGTCCCTGTGTCATCCGGCCCTTGAGAGCAGAGATGAGGACTTGCTCGTACTTCCCCCTCAGTGCCTAGCGCAGTACCTGACCTCGAGTTGACACTTGGTGGACATGGCCTGGCCCACCTATTCTATGTGGCTGCTCCTTGAAAGCCCGGCATTTCATACTGAGGGGGCTGTGGGACCAGGCAGTGAGGAAAGAGATGGAACTGTGCATGTGAACACTCAGCTTCTAGAATGGTGGCCAACCTGTGCCCTGTGGGGAAGCTTGGGGTGCTCCTGCCACCTTCTTGGCCCTTTTTTGGGTTTCTTTGAGTCATCTTCATTCCAGGGGGCTATTAAATCAGCTCTGAGGACTAAGATCTTAGCATCTGTCCATGCATCCATTCAGTAAATGTTCACAAGTGTCCACCCTGGCTAGGCCCACGTCCCATGAGACCTCTGCTCTGCAGAAGCTCACAGTCTGATGGGAGAGACAGACACACAGACAGCAACAACGCTGGGTAGCTACTGCTGTGAAGAAGGAGGCACAGGGGACTGTGGGAACTCAGGGGAAACTTTCTTGAGGAGAGCCTGACCTGAGACGGGAACAAGACCTAAGACGAGTGAGGTAGGCATGCAGGCCCTGGGGGCTGGAGGAACACAGACTGCACTGCACAGGAGGGGCTCAGTGACCTCTGACTGAGGGAGTCTCAGGGGCTTAGGAAGGGCAAGGCTACCTTCATTGTATGGCTCTTCTGTGCCACGTACTGTGTTCTGCACTTAGGTTTGTGATTTCACTTTGTCTACTGAAGAGCAGACTCAGGGGACCAAGGCTGGGCCCTCAGAGCTCTGCAGAGGTGCTGAGGAGCAGAGGAAGGAGGCCAGAGGGCAGGGCTGGGATGGTGGGCAAGGGCAGCCTTCAAATTGAGTGTATAGTGAGGAGGAACTCTAATGAGCAAGCTGCCATGGGAGGGAGGGAGCTTCCTGTCAACAGAAGTATGTGAACAGAGTCCAGTGCGGTGCTTTAGAAGGAAATCAAACCACTTGTAGGATAGGCTGCCCAGTCATGTTCCCTCTCAGCCCCAATTCCATGAGTTCTGTTATACAGACTTTACTTGCTGTAGTTATTCACAAGCAAGGATGACTTCCTGGAGGGAACGGATGGGTGAGACACCCAGGAAAGGCTTTGCATCCAATCCAAGTCACCCATGAAAAGGCTAGTGGGGTGGCTGGGGTGAAGTCCCTTTGTCCTAGGGGGTATCACCAGGCCACTCGTGTCTTGTACTGTTTCTGTACCCTAGTATGGTGAGCTCCTCATGCTGGCTGCAGGCACAGGCTTGGCCCCCATGGTGCCCATCCTTCAGAGCATCACAGACAACGCAGACGACGAGACCTTCGTCACCCTGGTCAGCTGCTTCAAGACCTTTGAGAGCATCTACCTGAAAACCTTCCTCCAGGAACAGGCCCGCTTCTGGAATGTCCGCACCGTCTTTGTACTCAGCCAGGTGAGCCTGGGTTCATCTTCCTTCCCTGATAGAGACTGCATGTCCCTTTAACCTGTCCCGAGGGCGGACCTGCTGTCATTTCGCTCCCTCGCAGTAATCATAACCCTGCTGCTGGTTGAACACCGACATTTACTAGGCAAGAAAGGAAGGACTTGTATTCGTTATAGAGATGAGGAAAGGTACTAGTCTATGTCAGGTTAGGCGGGATTGAGCTAGGAAGTGAGTCTAGGGCTCCAATTCTTCCTCATCACATTGCCTCCCATCCGCCCTCGTCACTTAGATGGGCCACAGGCATTCTCTAGGCTGTGATGGGCTCCTTGAGGTAGGGACCACCATTCTCCCCTTTGTGCTCAGCACAGGGCTGGCCCCAGAGTAGACATGTCATAATGACTGTGTAACCTGGCTCCAAGTTCACTGCATTAATTAGGGTCTCTATGGCACAAACAAGAAGTTCCGGTAGCGTAGTGGTTACGAATCTGGCTGTGAACCGCAAGGTCAGCAGTTTGAAACTACCAGCTGTTCCACGGGAGAAAGGTGAGGCTTTCTGCTCCCGTAAAAACTTATAGCCTCGGAAACCCTGTACAGGGGCCTATGAGTCAGAACTGACTCCACGACACATAATAACCAACCATGGCACAAACAGTTAAGCATTGGACTACTAGCTGAAAGGTTGGCAGTTCAAACCCATCCAGAGGCACCTCAGAAGATAGGTCTGGCGATCTGCTCCCAAAGAGTCACAGCCTTAAAAACCCTTTAGAGGTTTTCAAGAGCACAGGTTTACTCTGTACACACACAGTCGCCACGAGTGAGAATCAGCTTGATGGCTAGGACTCCACCCCCACCCCTCTTTCTCCATCCATCTCTCTACTTAGTTGCTGTCAAGTCAACTCCAACAGCCGGTGACACCGTGTGCGTCAGAAGGAGAGCTGGGCTCCATGGGATCTTGAATGGCTGATTTTTTGGAAATAGATTGCCAGAACTTTGTTCCAAGGCATCTCCTAGTGGGCTTTTACTTAGCAGCCAAGCATATGCTAATCATTTGCACCACCAGGGACCCCTGGTGTAATGGGATCTGCAAAGGTGATGGGCATGTTCTCTTTTTCACTTGAATGGTGGTTTTGAGTCTTCTCTTTTTAGAAATTCTTCAAACTGTACATACTTGATGATTTGTGTACTTTTCTATGTGTATCTTAAACTTAAACAAAATGTTTATTTAAAAAAATGAAGAAATTCCGCCAAGTCAGAGATGACAGGGTCACTTTGTGACCCTGAGGATGAAAGCCACAGCTAAGGCTAGAAGGGTAGGCAGTGAAGGGCCTGGGTCCGTTGAGGTGTCCCAGAGTCTAGCACATTCCTAGAATATCCCCTCTAGATGGGTTTTTCAATGAAAAATTTTGCATTTTTTATTATGAATTGGGCGTAAGTTTATGGAGCAGATCAGTTTTCCATTCAACACTTCATATGCATTTTGTTTCTTCTCACTGATTGCAAATCTCTACAATATAGCATCACTTATCCTACTTCCTCCCTGTGTTTCTTGCTTCCATCCCTCCTTTTTTCCTAACCCTTCCAAACTTTATCCTTGGTCAGTGCTTCCCTTTTAATCTCAAATGGTTGATTATTCTAGAGTGAACGTTCTTGTTGTGCTGTGGAGTCGGTTCCGACCCATAGCGACCCTGTACAGGGTTTCCGAGGCTGTAAATCTTTACGGGAGCAGAAAGCCTCATCTTTCTCCCACGGAACAGCTGGTAGTTTCGAACTGCTGACCTTGCAGTTCACAGCCCGATTCGTAACAACCACTACACTACCAGAGCTCCTTAGGGTGCGCGTACTGCAGTGTTATTGCCCCCCTATAGACCTGTCTGCTGTTTGTCTGGAAATTGAGCCAGAGGGGTGAGTTCATTTTCATGCCTGAAGGGTGGCTAAGGGCCATGGTTTTGTTGGTTCTTCCTGTCTCTGTCTGACCAGTAAACCTGGTCTTTTTTATGATTCTGAGTTATTTTCTCCCACTGTATCCAGGACCTTCTAATGTGATCCCTTTCAGAGCAGCTGATAATGGTAGCTGTCCCTCTAGATTTAAAAAAATGTCCATTTTATTTTTAAAATTGCTTTATTATAGTTTTTAATGTTGTAAAATATAAAGAACATAACATTCCCCAGTTCTTTTATGTGGGAGAAACAAGCCCTTTTCCTGGGGAAGGCACAGCTACCTGGCACTTGTCTTTCACCCAGCCAGATGTTCCCGGAAGAGTCACTTTTTGAGTTCTGTCTCTCACACTAGAGATGTCAGCTCCCTGAGGCCAGGAATCATGCCTGTTTTGAGTGGCTGTCATATTCCTAGTGCCTAGAATGATGCCAGGCAGAGTGAGCACTCACTCAACAGACACTTGTCAAATGATTGAGTTGAAACCTTTAAACAGGCTGACGAAGATGATGCTCCAAGGATGGTGATGGAACAATTCCGGAAGCCCCACTAGCAGGCGGGGATGTGTTAGTGTTGGCCCAGAGTGACTGGTGCAGTGGCCACTGGGAGGCAGCAAGAAGGTGGTGGGAGCCCGACTTCTGGTCCTGCTACTACCCTGCCTCAGTGTTCCCTGGGCTGCCCCTCCTGTACAGAGTGACAACCCACCTACCAAACCAAACTATTGCTGTCAAATCGATTTTGGCTCATAGCAACCCAGTTAGGACAGAGTAGAACCGTTCATAAAGTTTCCAGGGCTGTAACCTTTATAGAAGCAGATTGCCACATCTTTCTCCCTCTGAGTGGCTGTTAGGTTTGAACCACCAACCTTTTGGTCACTAGTCAAATGCTTTAATCAGTACACCATTAAGACTCCTTCGAACCTGCTCACAGGCTTGTTATAAGGGTGGTAAGAGTCCCCACATCTGACAGCTCCTGCCTCATGGTGGGGTTTGATCAAGGTTGTTTCTTATTCTCAGTTTCCTCATTAGGCAAAGAGCTGGCTGTATGAAGCCTAGGACCCTCCCTGTTGTCACCCCCCACGGTTTCTTGTCTTCCCAGGAGAACTCTCTGGAACAGCTCCCCTGCAGTTACCGGGACAAGACACACTTTGGCCGCCTGGCCCAGGACTTGGTGGCAGAACTGGTTGGCTCCTGTCGCAGGAAGCCATTTGCACTGGTCTGTGGCTCAGCCGAGTTCACTGAAGACATGGCCAGGTGCTTGTTGTGTGCGGGCCTGACCGAGGACTCCTACTTCCTCTTCTAGCCCTGGTCTCCCTCCCAGGCCCTGCTGTTGGCAACCAGGGGAACACGCCTGCATCTGGAAGACATGGAGGCCAGGCCCAATTCTGCCGCCGACTTGCCCGGTGATTTGGGGCAGTGTCTTTATCTCTCCAAAGCTCCATCCCTCATCTAGCCACTGCCTCCTGGCATCCAGCTTGTGACGAGAGGACAAGGGGATGGAGGAGCTTTAAGTAAAGTGAGCCAGTTTGGAAGTCAGCAAGACTGCTGACTTTCCTGGGCCCCAGGTAAGGGCCTGATTCGGTGTTCCTGTGAGAGCTTGCATGTAATTGCTGCTTTCCCTGGAGACTGAGTCCTGGCTGGAGCCTCAGCATTGGCATAGAGTAGGTGCTGGGACGGATTTTGGGAATGGCCACTGGAGAGGCTAAGAGGAATTTGCCTTATGTACGTCCAGTACCATGAACTCGACATCCTGTAAAGTCTTGACTTCTGTGTCCTGACCACATTCTCAGCATGAGGTAGGACCCTGGATTACCTCTACTTTGTATTGGCCCCTAGCCTTTCCAGCTGCAAATGGCTTTGCTGTGAGTCTCCCTTTCCTGGCTCCGGAGCTCAGCCCACAGTGCTTTCCCAGCAAAAGAAGAGGCACCGGAGGAAAACGCCCCTCCCTCCTTCTGCACACAGCCAGCGCTTCACACACCTTCAGCTCCTGCGCCCTGGCGACAGTTGCTATGGAGATCTAAAGATAGAGCAGGAGTCAGGAGACCTGGGTCCTTCTCTGTGCTCTGCCCACTGAGTGGCTGCTGATTCCAGCCTCCACCCCCGCCC